GGCGGCTCCTTGGAGGCGAAGATTCTGAGGCTCTGTCTAACATACTTTGGACATGTTGTAAAGAGGGACCAGTCTTGGAGAGGGACATCATGCTTGGGAGGGAGGAGGGATAGCACAGGAGGGGAAGGCCCTCTGTGAGGTGGATTGATTCAGTGGCTGGGATAATCAGGATGGGTGTATCAGAGACGGTGCGGTTGGCACAGGACAGAGAAGAGTTTAGGGCTGTTGTACATAGGGTTGCTATGAGACGGCACACAACAACAACAACATCTCCTGACTTTTGGCACCAAGGGTGTTGATAATTTGGATCCAAGTAAGATGAAATAGTTTTGTGTGGATCCAAGTAAGATGAAATAGTTAACACTTTGATCTTTTCTCCATTTATGATGTTGCTTATTGGCCCAGTGGTAAGGATTTTTGTGTTCTTGGTGTTGAGATGCAATCTATATTGAAGGCTATAGTCCTTGATCTTCTGCAGCAAGCACCTCAAGTCTTAACTTTTAGCAAGCAAGGTTGTGTCTTCTGCATAGCACAAGTTGTTGGTGAGTCTTCCTTCAATCCTGATATCAGACTCTTCTTCATAAAGTGCAATTTCTCAAATCATTTACCCAGTGTACAGATTGAATACGTATGGAGAAAGGATATAGTCCTGACACACACTTTTCTTGATTTTAAATCATGAAGTGTCCCTTGCTTTGTTCACACAAAAGCTTCTCGGTCTAAGTATATATTTTGTGTAAGTACAATTCAGTGTTGTGGAACTCCCATTCTTCACAATGTTAGTCACAATTTGTTATGATCCACACAATGGATCAGATGCCTTTGCATAGTCAATAAAACACCGATAGACAATCCTCTGGTATTGTCTGCTTTCATTCAGGATCTCCTTAATGTCAGCAATGTTCATCAACAGTTCTCTGCCAATGAACTGTTTTTGGATAATCTTTGGCAATATTTTGCTTGCATGTGATGTTAATGATATTATATTGATAACCCGAGGAATTAGGGGACTCATTTCAACTTGTGGTAGACTCTGAAGGATGGTTTTGGTCCGAGAGACCTAGGGTACAGGCCAGAGTCCTCAGAGACACTGCAGCGGGATAAGGCCGCACAGCAGGAACTGATGGGGTAGTTTTCACTGTTAATGCGCAAAATCCTTTGAAGCAGTGGAAGAATAGAAGGTTGGTCAACTTGAGTCTTGGATCAGAGATTGAGAGTCAGGCCATGTCCACTGGGGATCTTGCCTCTCAGACAGGAGATTATCTGTGTCCACTAGAGGTCCTTGCCCCCAGATAGGAGGTGCTGAGGAGCCCAAGTGTAGGCTTAGCTGTGCGCCGGTCACCTCCACGCTGACTGGTGAGGAGTCTCATGTCACCTGCAGGTGGTGGATAAGTGGTTCAAAAGCAACGATGAGGAGTCCTTTGCCTTTGCGCGCATGCTGATCGCCCAGGAGGGACTCCTGTGTGGTGAGTGGCTGCTCAGGGTCAACGTTGGAGAACACACTGGGGCACCTGCCCTTTGCCCACGGCCGTCCTAACACACAGAGACTCTTGTGTGTCTCCCAGAAACAAGGCAGCTGGAATCCATGTGCCAAAGTTACCACTCGCCGTGTGAACTCCCAAGGATGTCATGTCCCTGTCCCTGTCCATGTTGTGTGAGGCCAGGAGGGACACAGCTGTGGAGTTGGCAGATGTGTGCACAGCCGCTGCTGCAGCCTAGATACACAAAGAAATGTTTGCCCTTCTAGATCATGGTTGTTGTTGTTATTGTGTATTGTCAAGTTATACCTGACCCATAGTTGACCCTTCAGTGGACTTTCAGAGGGGGTTAAATAGATGATTGCCTCCTCTTCTCCTGTGGAGCAGTGGGTGGATTTGAACCATATACCTTTGGGATTGCACGCAATGTCTTACCTCTAGGCCACCAGAGCTGTTAAGTCATGATGGAACTCTAGTTCCACTTGCTCAGTGTTCCCATAGACCCCAGACTCACACAGTTCACAAGGTCTCCCCAACCGTGGGAGTTCTGTTCTGTGAACTCCTCGTGAACACTGAATTAACACAGGACCTCCTGACCTCAGCTTGTCTTCCCATCACCCGAGGGGTTGCTCAGGGTTCAGGGCCCAGCTCTTCTCCCCTGGGGCAGTCACAGCTGGCAGCTCCCCCTAGAGCAGGTCTGAATGTGTACACATACATGCACACACATGTACGTAATACGTACCTGCATCACTCATCCACACGTGTGTGCGCGCATGAGCTACTCACACATGCCATGTGATGTCCCGCAGGTGGCAGCTCGGGCAGCACCATGTCCATCGCTGTGAAGGCCGCCCAGGAGCTGCAGGAGGGCCAGCGCTGTGTGGTCATCCTGCCTGACTCTGTGCGGAACTACATGTGAGCTGCAGCCCCCTCCCTCCTGGGTCTCCTTTCTCTGCGTTTTATCCCTCCTTCTGGTGGATGCTGCTGCTCCCCCACTGCGTCTCACCTGAGCCCTCATGGCAGGGAGGTGGGGAGGTGGGGAGGTGGGTCAGTGTCTCCCTTGAGCTCTGCCTTTGCTGTTCTGGCCTCTAGGGGCTTCCTCTGGTTCATGAGAACCTGTGCTTCCTTGCTGCCCATCTTGGGCCTTCTAGACCTGTTTAAAAGTCCGAGTCCAGAGCTCATGTGACAGCCCTCACATGACCAGGAGCTCTGCTTGCAGGAGGCCTCTTCCTCCCACCCGCTGCTACCCCGGAGCTTCTCCACAAGTGGCCTGTTCCTGCTCTCTCCTCGGGTCTCACCCTCTGACTGCACCTGCACATTTGCTAGCCCTGGCAATCGTGGACCAGGGAGAGAGCTCTGACTGGAGCTGCAGCCCCGGTCTGCATGGCTGGGTGGCACCTGTCACTCTGCAAGCCCTTCAGACTTGGGTTTATTGGACCCTGCCTGAGATGGCATCTCCCTCAGCCCTGGTGTACTTGCTGTGTGGACCCACAGACTGACCTGCCTGCACGGAACTGCTTAAAAGCTCTGACTGGGATGCCTCTCGGGCTGATTCTGCCCCCCACCATGTTCCTGCAGCCCCATGGGGTGGGGACGGTTTAGAGACACTAGTCACTGGTTCCTGCAGAGTGTCACCCATTTGCTTGGAGCCTTGGGGTGGGTGTATTTGTGGTGCACTCAGCTGCCCTTGGCGATGCCAGGCCTGGCCATGGGAGCTCAAAGTTGGATCCAGGTATAGGGTGACTCACATCTGGGTGCCCACTGCCAAGGGCCCACTGAGGGTCAGAATGCCCATCTCCACCCACGCTTGGCTGCCTGCTGTGCACATGAATGCTTGTGTAAGGGTGTTTGTTGTATGAGTGAGAC